AGCTAGTAAGGACTGGTCATAAACAAGTTCACTCAATATCTATAACTTGCTAGCTAGTAAGGACTGGTCATAAACAAGTTCATTCAATATCTATAACTTGCTAGCTAATAAGGACTGGTCATAAACAAGTTCATTAAATATCTAACTTGCTAGCTAGTAAGGACTGGACATTAACCAGAGGTTCATACAATATCTGTAACTTCAAAAGTTGTTTTTCCTTTTTTAAATATCTGCTATACAAGTTTCTGAATTTCATTTTTTCTTTATATACGATATTCATCCAAGACGAGATGTACAGATTTAGAACAAAACCATTCTCTGTCACAAAATATGACCTACTAATTTATAAAACTATGGTGTGTATATACAATCCACACAATGATATGCAGTATTTGAAGGGCACTTTGAATCAAGATTTCCTAAAACAATGTGTCCAGTACATAAATCACTGTGTGTAACAGAGCTTAATCAATAACATATATATTATCAGGTTACAATCAAACTTCACTGACATCTAAGTGTATAACGGACTATATAATTGTCCACAGTACATTAGTATGTATATAAACCATGTTTAGCTAATATTGACTTAATATGTGTAAATTATTTGTAATTTTTTGTCTTGATTCCAATCAATGAATATAAATATTGACTTTGCTAAACAGATATATTTACATTTTTAGTAAAAGGAAACAAACTCACTTAAAACATTTCCTGAAATCAATTCTAGTTTTTATTTTCAACATGGGGTTATGACCTCATATTAGATATTAGTTTTTAAACCAGATCATTTCACAGTGTTTCATTATATTCAAATGCTCATTTCAATCTTGTCAAGCAATCAAATATAGCTGTAGGGTAGTTCATGTGCAGGAACTCTATCAACTGTAGCTGTCACAGAAACATTGTGCATGAGCTGTCAACTGATTTAGTAACAAACAACTACTTTTAAAGCCACACCAACCCTTATAAACAACAACATCAATTTGTGTAAATCTCAACAATTTTTTTCAATTCATCCTATTACATATAACATCCTAAACATATATTATTCACACATATGAATTACCCCTGCACATGCCAGGGATGTATCACACACCCATTTATCTCATGATCACATCCCTCCAAAAGCTTATTGTCTATCCCCAGTTTTTGTGCTTCCCAAACATTTTTTGGCATAACTTTGCTATGGTTGATTTTGGTGTTTACATTGGACATACTAAGAGCTAGGATGAGAGTGTTTCAATACAGGACCCGAAACTCATCATTTCCAGAAATGTTGTTCTGTGTTAAAATTATCAAGTCAATTAAAGTTTATTTTGGGGAACATTCATCAGCTTCTCTAGCCATCCTGGGGGTTGTTTTTGCCAATTCTTCCTTCTTACAATCTCTATCTATCACTAGCTGTACTGACAGGTGAGTATACCTGTTGAGATTACCTCTAAGTTTGTATACCTATGTCCCTATGGGTACTACATTACACAGCAGATGGATGAATATTGCTATAGTAACCCAAACATTGCCCTGTCACAGCACATGACCCCAGATACATACACAGCAGTACCTTCATTCAGTGGAAAAATTAACCTGTATTTTTTCAAACATCACAGGTTTATTTTCTAAGTTTTCTGCACTTCCAGTATCTAATGTCAAATCACATTTAAAACTTTTTTTTTCCTTTCATTTTTCCTGATCTAATCTAAATAGATCAATTAATTCACAATATTTCTCTTATTCAGCAGTTTGTTATCAGAAGTTCATCAAGACTTAACAAGACAAACAAGAAATCATTTCTTTCTTCAGACTTCCAATATTACTACAGGATTTTTTAGCAACACATGACAACTGACAGGTCAAATACTATGAAAAGTTTTTCTCTCTTACATTTCTCTTACATCAGGGACTTTGCCTATAAAACTGATTGGGGACTTTGCCTATAAAACTACCTCTTTAATAGATTGCACTTGACTTCCAATCAGAAACAGTCTATATTTTTACCCTATTCAAAAAAAAAATCCAAATGTGAAATTATTAAATTGTACTATGTATGATTTCCAAATTGAAACTAAAGTCACTCAATATTTCCCAAGTTGTACTTTAGTGACAAGAAAAAAATGTTATCCAGAAGGGCCTTCAATATACAGGGATGTTATTGTGTTCTAAAAGAAGCAAAAAATTAAGGAAATACAGTGCTGCAGGAGACTCCAAAAATGTAGCAATTTATTTTTAATGTTAGTGATAAAGTAGCCAGCAATTCTAGATCTGATGTGACAGATGTTTAATTTTGGTAATATACAGCTTAATATGTAGGTTAATATTAAAGCTGACAAGGCTAAACCTACAACTGACCTACTATATATATTGTATAGTAAACCATACCATATATGACAGGCTAACTAATGGTACATTTGTGTTAGAGGTAGCTTAAGGGTAATGGGAAAGATGTCACACATCATTCTCCATTCTGTGATGTAATTGCTCTGTCGGACATAGATAAAACCTCAGGGCCTATTTCATCTCATGTTCAATATTTGTTGCAAATTGTACATCAGTTGTTCAGTGTTTTGCAGAAAATTATAACAAATGCAAGATCTGTCTTAATTGATATTTCTATTTAGATATTTGTTTTATCAGTTACATTGTAAACCTAACTGTTAAACTGAATGAGATGATTATTGCCAACACCAGTATATATCATGTGTAATTTTGAAAGTTTATAAACAATTCGGTCAAAATACTTACTTGAAACACACATCAAAACAAGAAATATTTATTCAGTTCATAGATACGTTTGAACTTTGTTACAGAAATGACTGACTCGCTGATGATTCTATCTGTATCCAAGCTATAACAATTTACGACTGTCTGTTACTTCCTATTAAAACTGAGTAACATGTCATGGGACTAGTTTAAACGGTTTGAGAGTTTAATAGCCTGTTTATGGCCTATCCATGTGTCCAGACATCAAACTACATTTATACAGTTGGGGCCAGAGCTGGGTAGAAACTGCAGACATACTTTAAGAGTTAGTAACAGCTAATGGTATTTAAGTCAGGGGTTCAGATTTCAAGCATACCACTGGTCAATTTATTCCGCAAGTAAATTATCACCATTTGGATCAAATTCTGTTAAACCCATCAATTTGCTTGGTAGCCATTTCTATTAAGGACAGAAACTTTGAATTTTCAGCCCCATTTTCTTACAATTTTAATGTAATTAGTCAAGCCCACTTTATCGTCATACAGACCATCAAGAAATGGTGCAGCAATTGTCTGGGATAAAAATTCTAAGTGTGCAAATAGACTGGTAAATCTTCACCTCAATGACAAGGTTCATTGAATATTTGATTAATGACACAATGAATGATCCTTGAAGTGAAATGCCAAAACAACTCCATGTTCCACTGACACCTCCCCTTGATAGTTGATACAAGTTCAAAGGATTTCAGAGTAGAATTTTGTTTCTTCAAGTCCAATCTAATACATGGATGACCCTATATCATCTTGATCAGCTCTTAAACTGAAGTTTTGTTGTCAAAGTTTTTCGTCTCCAGTGAAAGACCAATATTTTGTCTACAGAAAAATTTTAACTGTAAACTGACAACTTCATTCTAAATGTGATATATCCAGGACAAGGTTCTCCAAAAGTCCTGATTTAAAAGACTCAACTCAATCAAAAATATTAAGAAAAGCTTAAACAGGTGTTTGAATCAATAACATCAAATCATGTATAGGTATTTTTTCTTCAGTCCATTATAGTCAGACAAAAATTTTGAAATCACCACAAATCTACTGAGAGTCACAATGTTTTACATCCACTTCTTATGAAGATTAATGTATATCAAGTGTATTTACCATGACCAATACATTTATGACATTCAAGGTAAGTTTCGGGTAAGACTCTTTCCCTGGGAGATAAAATATCTAAAGGACCTACCTTATCATTTATCTTCACAGTTAGTCACATTAATAACTGAGGCTTGAGAGAATTTTGAATATACTGTTCAAATAAACAATTATATCTACAAACTTTGCACAGTTGAAGTTTGATATCTTCACTTGCTCAACCAAAATATTTTGGAAGTGAAACCATGCTAAGTACCCTGAGCGATATTTTACAATCATTTTCATGATTTTTGTAACACTACTTGGACAAATAGTTTCTATAAACCTTTATCTGATGCATTGTCAACTATTTTGTTTCAGATATTCAGTTTGTTTTTGTCCCCTAATTTTAAAGCAGTCTGCTACAAAGGGAACAAAATGGCTTTTAAATAGACATATATAAGTGTACTTTGTCATAAAGTTATATTATTACAAAGCAAAGTTAAAACAGTATTGTATTTGTATGAATTTGCTGGGTTTTTTTCAAATAACTGAATCAAAATTTGAAATATGTTGTTTTTGTGGGGTGTTTTTTAGTTTCACGAAAAATTGCAATGAAACTTCCTAGTCGCTAAACTTTAATACATTTTTACTGTCTGTGTATCTTTTTATATGAACAATGGCAAACATAATGAATAAATAATTATTTTGTCTAACCGACAACCCTAACCTTAGTCATAACAACGCAGACAGCTTAATAGGACAATACTTATTGTCAGTGTACAGTAGATTCAAACTTTCTATTAAACATCGTGCAGTTTGAATCATTTTATCTCCTACAGGTCAACAGTTCCATTCAGCCCAGCCAAGGTTGGCAAATGTAACTGGGCCTATATCTCCGAACAGGTGCCCGTTCCTGAGGAAGCGGTTTTCGTTATTTTTTTAATATTTGACTGTCGGATCAGGTTTTCGCTTCTTGATAAAGTTCTTCTACAAACATACAGTATTAAGTGACATTAACACGTTCTGGTTTAATCTAGAGAAAAATAACAGTTGTGTGTAGGTTTAACCAAGCGAAACACTCCCAAAACAGACGCTATTTTTATCATATGTAGACGACATAACCGGCTGTTCGACATGACGGTGTTGATTTAGCACATGTCCCGGAAAACTTACCTTTGACAAACAGCAAAACTGCGACAGTCGTATAAAGACAAAACTGCAATAATTCCATTGTACTAGTTTTCCTAAGATCCATGTCGAAAAAGCTTGTTTGAAAGTTCTTTGCTGCTCAATTCAAATTCACAACACATCCGCCATCGTTTGAGTCACTTCCCGAAATGCCCACAATGCAGTTCGGCTCAGGTAAAACTATCCACCTGAGATTGTCTGAGGCCCCATCGGGGACATTGTTATGGACATTTTCGTGCAATCAATAAAAAAAAATCGATTTTTTTAAAATCCTCTCTTTGCCATAACAGTTCTTTAAAAATCGTTCTAATTTATACGAATGACTGCTGTTAAGGTAAAGAAAGATAGCTCAGCATATTTATTTTGTTGATGATAAAAATACCCTTCTTTGACCTCCGGAAGGTACAACATAGGAAGCTGTAATGAGTAACACTCGGTGAGCGATGACTGTCAACTTGAATATTTAGATCGATAGTCAGCCAAACATCTAAATTATTCTGAAATACTGTCTAAATTTATTGAGTAATATTTTGGAAACGCATGAAATCCAGCTGAGTTTAACTGACCTGAAGCACATGAATCATGTTTCTTTTTTTATTTGTAGTTAATGTACGGAACTTTTTCCAGAAGATATTTGTTGCGTGATTGTAATAATGGTTTTCCCGATCTTACATCGAAGAAGTGGAACTCGTTACAAGATATTCGTCCTATATGACGTAAACCACACTGACTGCCAATATGAGCTGCTGTACGTTTGTTTGGCGTGCTAATTTGATCAGTAATTGTGCTAATTAAGTGGACTCCCCGGTCGGACCATCCTACAGCGCCCCTCATTTATAGTGTCATCATAACAAAATGTCACAATCTTGAGCAGATCACAATAGGAAGATTTATGGAGGACAACAGTTTGATTGGAGACTGTTGTTCAAGATCACAACACGAGTTCCGAGATCTCCATGTTGTTGAAAATGTTATTTAGTCGGCGACAGGGGCGATATAACACGACTCACACGCTCTCGTTCTCTCTCTCTCTACGAAAACAACGAGAGGAGGAGGACACAGCTGAGAGAGAAAGTTGTGGTTAATGTCCATTTTTAACAGGAAGGAATTTGGCAACAGTTAATGTTATATATACTTTATGTAATAACGAAAGCCACCGATTTTTATTGAAGGAGAGGGGGTTAAGATACAATATTCTCTATTTTTGAAAGAGGCCCATTTTTATGAACATTCCTTTTACGTAAGGCGAATAATTAGATTTATTTTGTGAATAATCTGGGATATTTCTATTCTATACCGTGATGTATTAAAAGTGATTTCCTCGAATGACAGGTATACCAATATTGAGGAACCAAGAAGTAAGAAATCCACCTAGCACCTGTTATCACTCTGTACAAATGGCTGGTGCTTCATCACCTGTCATTAAACATGAAAGACGCCGGTAAGCATGTAAATCACCATAGATTATAACTTCCTTATATGGTCACGCGATATCAATACCTGTACCGCTGCCTTCAGGGTATAAACCACTGTAGGTCAAACACACAGTACCGCTGGATCAAAAAGACAACACAACTGTGTGTAGCTATTAAGTAATTGACTGTACATAGTTTTGAATCAGAGATTATATTTCTCATATTCTGAAGATAGACACGACAATTAACGGCACCATTAAAAAAACCTACCGGAATATTTACACCCAATTCATCAAAACACCGTAATCAGAGTTGTCTTCTGTCGAATGGTAGACGTATTTTAGACTCCGGGTTATCCTAGGTCTTTCATTGAAAACAAATACCTCGACTTGAAGATTGCCAATATAACTTTATCACAGTTAAATAAATACACTTTGTATGGAACTCGATAAGGTCACTTACCACAGAGACATATATAACATATGTATGTGTTATATATGTCTCTGCTTATCAAAATTTCAAGATTTTCAACACTATCAACACATACATTCTCATTCGTGGTACATTTGTTGTAAACATCATCATCATCATACCACCATCATTATCTCATCATCATCATCACCACCACCACTACCATCATCATCATCATCATCATCGCTACCATCTGTTGGTAGTATTATGAAGAATTAGAGGTGATGTTGATGGTCTTAAGCTACTTTACTGAGTGACAAAGGTATATAAACAATACCTTGATACGGTCAAACCATTAACCTGGATGCTTTATCGTATTTGTGTGCTTTATTAGAGCTGATGTCTACCAAAACCAATAATCGTGGCGTTAATTATTGTGGATTTAAACGGCATTTCTTCGGGCAGGGATGTACTAGATCACGTATAGAAATATATGTCTTGTGTCTTTGGTCGCCGTGAACAGCCCGAAGCATTTTTTGACCATTTTAATGGCATGCGTCGGACCTTCAGTATGTTGTCAGTGAGATAGCTATCACCTACTACAATGAGGTCCAACTGATCCTGGCTGTTCACAGACCGATGAACTCAACAAACAAACAAACGTTGTTATACGTCCTTGGCCATTTACCAATGCTCGAACATCCTCTACTCATTCTGATCTACCAGAGTTACTTCCCTTCGTTTTACAACCCAGAACTGTATATGCTAGGTATACCATGTTATCTACCTAGTTTTCAGTCACATTCACAGGTATGGCGCTGATTACTACTGACAGGTATGCTTTCCCCGGGGACATGATGTTGATCAATTCCCTAATGAGGCATCGTAGCACACAGATTTACGGCAGCAGAATCACCAGTGGTCAGCTGGTCAGTCGGACCTGTGCGACCCCTGGCTACTTGTTATACGTACAGGATTGGCCGGGTTTTCTCTTATCTTTCCATGTAACGAAGGAAATGATTGACAACGTACAAGACTCTTTTGTACAGGTGTGGACAGAACAAGACCCGCGATACCTGTAGATTTAACCAGGATCACCAATCGTGGTATTTTTTCATGTATATAAAACACACACAAGTCCAGAAGGTAAAAATAGACTTATTGTTCACGTTTGGGTCAGAAAAGCAAGTTCTGGCAACAAGAACCGTATCTTCGTTTACAAATAATCGTAACATATGAAATCAAATAACAATTGTTTTGATGGCGGTATTTTTTTTTCTTCTGACAGGTTGTAGGGATTCTTGTGTACACGCTGAGGGGGTTCTGTATTCCACATAAATGATCAATTAAACACAGAGTGCTACTTTGTTTTGTTCCTTTTTATCTTTCCAAACATCATCATCATCATAAAACAAAAAATGCAATCCATGCCATGTTTTAAAAGTATTCAACATTCGCATTTAAAATAATCCTTTACTTCAAAGCAAGCTGATTAATATCGAGTTCTTGTAAACAGAGGTGATGTATAAAAAATAACTAAATTCTACTTAGATATAAATAAAAATAATTACGGCAAAAATTAGAATCATAAATTAGGTCTAATGTATCCAAAATTTCAAAATAAAGAATTCAACTCGTGAAGTTTTATTTTAGTCATAAAGCAAGGCCTTAGTCAAAGTATCAAAAAGTGGTGGAAGCATGCGTTCTAATGAAAAACAAAACACACTAAACACACAACACACACACACCAAAAAAAGAGAATAAAAAAAATAAAGAAGAGATTAAGCTTAGATGCATAGGATGACCTATTTCTGTTCTGCAGTTTTTAGGTCTTATTACTGGACCGTAGCTCTGTGAGATAAAAATCATTGTGATGAGACGTTTTATTGTGTTAAAACTGAACTGATTTCAGTTCGCCAAACTGATGTCTAATTTTCTAGATAATTTATCATTTCATAGAATATTTATAATAATTCTGTATTTTTAGAAGGTAACATGCTAAGTATAAGTATACGTCCACACGGTCACCCCAAATGATTAATTACAAGTACTTACAATCAGGTACCAATATCTATCTACCATGACTATAAACATGCAATTTAAGATAAAGAGTTACCCTTAAATCAAGTAAATCAAAGTCAACAACAATACATATAATAATGAAATAATTAACGTAAAACATAATTAACCTAAAACTTGATTAATTTGTAACAATAATTAAAATTTCATGAAATTTAATCATAAAATTTTGAAACCAGATAAAATATATATACTTAAATTTGATGCATGTCTATTCATAAGAAAAATACTAACAGACAACATCCTGACAAATTTAGTATGAATAATGACTACGACGAGAATTTTATATTTGATATATAACGTTTTAATTCTTTCCTTGACAACAAAAGGCCGTTGGAAGATTTCAGTTTGCTTAGAAGGCTATTCCACATAAGTACACCAGAGTAACATTTTTTTTATTTGGTTAATGATCTTGGTAGAACAAGAGAATTATTTGATGTATATCTCAAATTACAATGATACACAACATCACATGTAATGATACTGTTTTTAATGTATTTTGTAGCCAAATTATTGATAGCCTTATAAATCAATACAGAAGTATGATATTTAACCCGAAGCTTAACAGATGTTGATCAAATTTACATAAAACGACGATGTGATCAAAATGACTTTACTTCATAAATGAAACTTATCATATCACCAGTTCTGTCTCAAAAGCAATATTTTGTGTTCTTAGTTTTATTATTTTCAATCGGATTTTATTTTTGTTTGGATTTTCCTTGGCCCATAGAATCAAAACAAATCTTACAGGAAAGAAATAATGCTATTAGAATAAAGATGAAGAAACTACAAAACGAGGTAATGACTTCAACGATGACAAAAATGTATATATATGAATCTCACAGAAACGTGTGCCATAATTTTTAAAGAAAAATGAATTAGATGGATTTTAAAACAAAAAGTTAATTTAAAATATTTCGAAGTCCGTTTACAGCCCTTTTAGGCCTTTGGGGTAAAATACGGAAAAATCTGTAATGGAGGATGAATTCTATGGTTTGTTCTGTTTCTTCTAATCGAACACAACTGACTGTAGTCCGTAATATAATGTACAATGTTGACATGTTTTTATTTTTGTTGAATTTAACTGACGGAGTTGTGCATCTTGAAAGAACTCTCTTTTCATAACTAAATTACACGCATGCGCAGTGCACCATAGCAACAAAGTAAATCCAAGATGGAGGGTGACGGTGAGAAACCACCTTCACCGAAGCCGGAAAATCCAGGTACTATATTACTGTCAAGTATCAAAATTGAACAGGCGTAAAGATATATATAGACAAAGTTGTCACTGTAATGTCCGCGTTTTATGATTTTCTTTTGCGATGGCGTGGTTAAGCAAGAGTAAATAGTAAATGCTAGGTGCCCGTCCTTTTTCATCCTTTCGACATCGTGACAGTGATGTAAACACACATTTTTCGATAGAAATTCTACTCGAAATAACTATTGCAGCATTTTAGTTTCTCATATCTTTACCACCACAAATATTCAAGACCAATTTTTGCACGTGTTAATGCAATTCTGACGTCCCCCACTAGGTATTTGTGCATATGTCGAAATTTTGATTACTGTTATCTCACGGCTGTCTGATTGTTGACAGATTGGTCACTGTCACCGTGTTTGAAACAGTTCACCATCAATCAAAGTTTTCATTGCATTTACGTAATCATTTTATGTATGTAATGTCTATACTCAATTAAATATTGACCGAGAATGGTGTTGTAATGTCAAAGTATTGTAAGATATAAATGAAATGGTTTTGTTGCTTACAGTGTCACATAATTATCGTCACCGTCGTAGCCCAGTTCAGCGATTTATAGTAACTGTCATAGCAGTATATTTATCTAGATAAAACCCAATTCAGGCAAAAAGAGCAGATTCCAGCAGATTTTCCAACCCATATATTGAACATTATATGTCTGCAGGTCGTGTACTTTAACTATTGTGACAGCTTAACTTGCTGCTGTATGTGTAATTGATAGATTTCTTTTTAAAATTCAATACCAAACAGTAGCACACACAAAATTAATATATACAATTTATCAAAATGTTTTCAGGAATTATTATTTTTATTTATACATATTTTTTTTTTTTTTTTTGTATTGTCATGAAAAACAACATTGTCGGTAATTTATTTTCCAACAATATCTTAATTTTCCACTGTACAACACTGCAACCTAAGTGTTGTAATTGTCATTGAATAACAACAAGTAAAAAACACATAATCAAAAGAATATCTTCTTGATGAACATTGTCTTTCACTCTACAATTTTAGCAAACTCAATCTTTTCAAGCCCCCCAAAAAAGACCAACCAACCAAAATATATTGGTCAGATGTAAACTTTGGCAACCCACCATGAACCTTTGGTGATTGTGTATCACAAGAATGCTGTAAAATTGATCAAAAACAATTGGGACCATGATGGTTGTCACTAGCACAGTAGCAGGTGGCTTTGTTAGTAGATGATCTGTCTAGATTTTGAAGAACCAGAATTTATTAGTAAATCTGTATATCTGTTTGAAAATCTTTGAGTTGCAAGCAGGTTCAGAGAAAGTCTTTAGATCTTATCTCTTGCTTATGGATCTCTTTTGCCATTAAATTGTAGACGAGTAATTTAAGACATTTGTCTTGGATGAAATATACAAATATCATATTATGTCTTTGAAATAGCGTAAACTAGAGAATTTGAGTGATGATTTTTGCTTATTAATGCATCTGTTTGTTTATGTGCATATACCTGTATACATATGGTTAAAGGTTGAATAATAACAAAGAGCATGAATTGAATTTAGGAAAATGATTTGAGGATAACAATAACAATTTCTGTTAATGACATCTTGTTTTTATTAATTTGTCACTCGAGGATCTCGTGACTCTCCTGCATCTGGCTCAGGAAATGAGGGCACTGGTCGTAAGTCACGCAATTTAAAAGAAGCCACCTCTCATTTAAAAGAGGAGGCACTACGTAGATACAGGCTTCGTCAAGAGGCACTCATGTCATCAGACTCTGGGGGAGAGGGGACACCTGTTCCACTGGAAACTCGAATGCCAAAACCGCCAGAAGGTGAAAAACCAACCAACAGAAGAAGCAGTCCAAGGCAGAGAACTGTTCACTTGAGTGAAGAACAGGAAAAGCATATTAGTTTTCAAAGAGATACACAACCAGAATTTACAACCGAGAAGAGTGATGTCTCCCTTCCTGTGTCTATTGAAGAGGAGATGACACAGAATACAGAGCGTGTGGTCGCGAATTCTGTAGATCTACAAGAATGGGAAAGTGCAGGTAATACCCCTTTGATGGAGTTAGAGGGCAGTCTGAGTGAGGAGAAGGTATCCCACACTCGAGTTGTCACTTCTACAGTGATGGATCTCGACACCATTAGTAGCCAAATTATCACCACGAAAGCAGACGTAGACTCAATCGAAAGTCAAATTATCACTAGTGATGAGATTTCTGGACTGGCCGAGAGAGAGATCCAACATATGGTGGCAATGATGGAGAAGAGCCACGAAGATGGATCCAATAAAAAGGTTATTATTACTACTAAAGAAGTTGTTGTTGATACTGATCAAGATGAAAACAGCCAGAAAATTGAGGAGAGCAAGATTCATCAGAGTTTGGGTGTGGTTCAGATGACAGCACAGGAAATGTCACGTGAACCAACCTTAGCTGAGGACATGTTAAAGGAAAATATTGATCCAGTCAAATCATCTAAAAATGAAACAACATCATCACAGTTTTCTCCTGAAGGAACAATGGTTGAGGAGGAGATTGTACCGACTCACACAGGAACACAAGACACTGTCCTACAGACAGGACAGTCGGGAGGTATTGCGACTCTGTGCTCCACATCTGTGCACCGCCTAGCCTTCTCTGCAGGCTCCTTAGACATCTCTAAAACATTTTCAATGCTTTCATCTCAAATCCACTCTATTTCAGACTATTTTGCATGTCCACAACAAACCTCACATATTTACCAATACTGTAGCTGTTACCTTATATAGATGTTATGTCCATGTTCTGAAGATCATACTGTTATCAATTCTGTATACTAGGTAATTCAGCATCTCAATTTTTTATATCTTCAACTATCATTAACTCAACAGCAATTTAGAAATCTGAATTAAAAACAAAAAATAGAAAATTGGAAAGATAGTATGCTTCTTGACATTTTCATACTGAAATCTTATTTCGAGGAAATTATTTTCAGAAAGGTATGACAGGGAAAGAATTGACATACATGTTGTGAAAGTCAGTGAGGAATTGAAATAGCTATTTTGTCATTCCCATTGGTTTATAAAATCAATTTAAGGCTGTCTTTGAATGATAAATTATATTATTAGGCTTCAAAAGTTAGGTGCTTAGCATCACTGACGAGTCCTAGAAGGATGAAACAGCTGTATGATGTAGCATCACTGACGAGTCCTAGAAGGATGAAACAGCTGTATGATGTAGCATCACTGATGAGTCCTAGAAGGATGAAATAGCTGTATGATGTAGCATCACTGACGAGTCCTAGAAGGATGAAACAGTTGTATGATGTAGATTAATTCATTATTTGATGCTGTGGTGTCTTAATTTGTATGGAAAGGTATATGCTATTCACCTTTTGTAGGAACTTTATAGAGACTGAACATGGACGTAGCATGTGAATACTTATTTGCTAAGTTATTTTTTTTATTTTCGATGAAGTCTTGCCAGTTTTGTGCCTTCATTTCTCACCTATGACTGAATTTCTATCTTGTTTTTTGTTAAAAAATTCAATAAATTTCATAGAACAAAGTACAGTTGTATATGACTTCATCAAACTAGATCATGGATGTTTCCTAAAAACTGGCAAGTACATTTGAGAATAAAATGATTATAAAGATTAATTTTTCTGTTGGATGTCACATATATTGTTTGCTAGCTATAGGAACTGCTGCTTCTAGTCCAATCATCTAAAGATTTCAGTATTTAATATTTATATCATCAGTAAAGGAGTTTACACAAACAAATTTTACAACATATTTGTTTTAGCAATTCATTGAGTTTGATTGAAGCTGCCCAGCAAAATTACTTTACCACTACATATATCTGGAATGTGCCACAAGTGAATTTTTTATTGACATCATGAAGACACTACTTATATGTAAGGATGTTAGATTCTAATAATATGTGTATATGTGATTTACCCACCAATAAGCCAAGATACCCAACACATTATCTAGGATTCAGAAGTCTGTGATTTAGGACAGAGATATAATATAAATAGGTAACAAAACACATTATCTAGGATTCAGAAGTCTGTGATTTAGGACAGAAATGTAATAATTATTGGTAACAAAACACATTATCTAGGTTCAGAATTCTGTGATTTAGGACAGAAATGTAATAATTATTGGTAACAAAACACATTATCTAGGATTCAGAAGTCTGTGATTTAGGACAGAAATGTAATAGTTATTGGTAACAAAATACATTATCTAGGTTCAGAATTCTTTGATTTAGGACAGAAATGTAATAGTTATTGGTAACAAAACACATTATCTAGGATTCAGAATTCTGTGATTTAGGACAGAAATGTAATAGTTATTGGTAACAAAATACATTATCTAGGTTCAGAATTCTTTGATTTAGGACAGAAATGTAATAGTTATTGGTAACAAAACACATTATCTAGGATTCAGAATTCTGTGATTTAGGACAGAAATGTAATATTTATTGGTAACAAAATACATTATCTAGGATTCAGAATTCTGTGATTTAGGACAGAAATGTAATAGTTATTGGTAACAAAACACATTATCTAGGATTCAGAAGTCTGTGATATATTTTTTGATAATATCAAACAGTAACATATAATGATATGCTTATTGGATAAACAGTAAAATTCGGTATGTTACGTCAGTATTGGTGACAGATAAGTGGAAATACAGATTTAACAATATTTTCTTTATGTGACAATAATCCCAGATCATTCAACTCACTGGTTTATTGATTGTTAAACAAAAAATCTGTACATAGATTGGATGAGGATCACTTCAGTTTCTATAGTTATATTGTTTGCTTGTTTACATAATAATCCCCCCACCCCTTTCAGTTCTAGTTCTTGACTGTGACGTAGATTGTGTACAACCAGTAGATTTCTCTGTGTGATAAATGTTGATTCTGTGTTATCCCTGTAGTCTACCATGTTGTCATATAGATCTGATCAGTTTTAGATATATCCTTAGGTCAAGCACTGTCATCCTTATTTGGTTTACTTTAATTTGATGTTTTATCAACTCATTTAATGTTTTAAACGAAAATGAATCTTTCAATGAAATGAAAATTTGGACAAATATTTTTGATATTGCAAATGTTAACAAAAGCATTGTAAACCACAATTAGTCCTGAAGAAGCCCTAATGTTTGGGCGAAACTGGTAGACGTAGTATTAAAGTTATCTCACTGAAGATCCTAAGTTTGTTGCGATTGACCACACCCCCTCCTGAGCATTGTCACTGATATCAGGAAAAATACAAAATGTCAAAATACAAGAAATGTAACAATTGATCTCAAGATTATTCTAAGAAATTGCAGGCTACAGTTTTGTCACATTATCATTCTAAACACTGTATCACTTGTAATGATGTATCTCTGGACTGGTACAGGAGGAGATGGGGTGATGGAGGGAAGGGGTGTGGACATGTAGGGGTTGGGAAGGTAGAGGGGTGGGTGGGGGTTGATTGGAATGTTATTGCTGTGTCATCACTGAGTGCCCTTGGATGGGCTAGCTGTTGCATGAGCATGTCTGCTTTATATGTTGTGAAATGCATGTTGTTTTGCCATAATTCATATTGATATGCATTTTATTTAGTCAACATTCTATCAAAGTTATTTTGTTATATCTGATAATTGCTGTACAAATGGATGTTTATCGTTTGATTTGATTCACAGAAATTTTCATCATACTTTACTGTATAGATCTTTCATTTACTAGTACCTGGATACCATAGAGATTCTAAATATAAACAATGAATGACCGTAAAGGTTTCATATCATTCCCATTCATCATTATAAGTAGGGATTTAACTAATTGATAAGAACAACTTTTGAAAGTTTACTTTTTAATAGTCGAATTCAAATTTCTGTTTCAACTATTGAAAAAAAATGATATTAAATCATTGATCTAGATGAATAATTTCAAGTTTGTAGTTGTCTGAACTTGAAAATAAATTTCCTTGTCTGGTGCATAAAAAGTAGATTTTAAGATGGTAAGTCAGATATCCTCACAGAGTTAGGGTTTAACATGAGACCAGTAGATAGACGAGGAAGGTCTTTTCTTTGAAAAAGTGATGGATGCCTAGTGACCAGTGACTGATCTACATGTGGTCCTTAGTCCATGCTCACAGACTTAGTGTTGAGTCCCTATAGCGTTAACAGTGTAATACACTTTACTTTCACTTTCTTTGTAAACAAATTAGGTCGTACAATGAAAATATCTGATGCTCGTTGCATGTTCACCTTTTGTGTATTCCTCACCATGTTGTGCCATACATCGCCAAAATATCACATTAATCTGTAACATCAAAAATTCATTTTTTATAGTGTTGTAAATTTGTTCTCCCAGTGAAGTATCCATTAGAATTCTAAATAAGCCTTTTTAGAGTTGCGTTCTAGCTGATTGATCTTTGTAAACATGGTGCTTGATGTGTATTTATGTTATGGATTTTTACCAAATTTTTCCTTCTTTCTTCACAATTTGTTAAATTCTTTTTTGAATACAATACAATATAGAGCCAATACAATAATCCTGCATGTAACACTAGTATCAGAATTTATATTAGAGATTTTTATATAAAAATGGTAAAGAAAATCATACAATGTTTAATAGATGATTATTCTTAAAATAGTAATATCTGTAAGAAAACTTTGGATGTATCAAACAAAAAAAAGGTTTTAAAATGTACTATTTTTGTATTAGAATCTGTCGTCTTTTTTGTTTATTAGAAGCTACTGGTGGAGAACAAGTAACAGAACCACCTCTGGTTGAGGAAAAGGCCCCAGAACAGGAGGCAGACAAAGCCCCAGAACAGGAGGCAGACAAAGTCCCAGAACAGGAGGCAGAAAAGGCCCCGGAACAGGAAGGAGAAAAGGCCCCGGAACAGGAGGCAGAAAAAGCCCCGGAACAGGAGGCAGAAAAGGCCCCGGAACAGGAGGCAGAAAAGGCCCCGGAACAGGAAGGAGAAAAGGCCCCGGAACAGGAGGCAGAAAAGGCCCCAGAACAGGAAGCAGAAAAGGCCCCGGAACAGGAAGGAGAAAAGGCCCCGGAACAGGAAGCAGAAAAGGCCCCGGAACAGGAAGGAGAAAAGGCCCCGGAACAGGAAGCAGAAAAGGCCCCTGAAGAGGAAGCAGAAAAAACTCCAGAACAAGAAGGGGAGACATCTAAGCAAACAACAGGTGAAGAAATACTTGAAGAAAATACGAAAGTAGATGAAAAGCCATCAGAAGGAGAAAATGCCCCTGAACAAAGTCAGGAAGGGGATAAGGCCCCTGAACAAGCACAGGAAGGAGAAAAGGCCCCTGAACAGACAGAGGAGGTGGACAAGGCTCCTGAACAAGCACAGGAAGGAGATAAGGCCCCTGAACAAGCACAGGAAGGAGAAAAGGCCCCTGAACAGGCACAGGAAGCTGAAAAGACCCCAGAAGATGGAAGTGGCGATAAACCTGTTGAGGGAGAGAAAGTTACAGAACAAACAGAGAAGACTGAGCAAGAAGAGTCAGTAGCAATTGATAAGCCAGGAGATGAAACTAGCAATGCTACAAAAAGTGATGGCCAAGGTAATTCTTCAATGAGGATTCATTGAAAATAAAAATGGAGAAAGAATTGTGAAAATAATTAAAGGTATTCTACCATAGCATATATTATCTATAACTTTGGAAAAAAGAGATAAATGAGAATTTTCTCAAAAGTTGAATCAATATTTAGTTAACTTTACTGGTATATGGTCTTTCTATTTAATTTCAATAGTATTCTACAAACAGACGTTTTATCAAACCCACTTTTTTAATGAAATGATATTTCTGTCATAGAACAAAGCCAGGTTGAGGAAAAAGAAGAAGCAGGAGAAAAGAAAGAAGATAAGGTGGAAAAAGAGACTGGTATCCCTGCCGACTTCTTTTATGAACTGGACAATCTGACATCTAAGCCTGTGATTACAGAAAACTCGGGTCTACCAGAGGACATGCTGTCACTCCAGTATCCTTTGTTATTGAATTCTATTGTTTCCTGGTCAGGGTTGTATTACAATTAACCTACTATAAACCTAGGGCAAAAATAAAAGCAAAAAAAAAATAATCATTTAAAATATAGATGTAGGTATAATACAGGACATTGAAACAACATCTGTTGCATTTTCTACTGAAATGAATATAGATATGGATTGGATTTTCTCCTATCAGATTTGTCTCTTGTTTTACCTCTTCATTGTTTCTCTGTCACCCCCAAGGATGTAATAGATAGCATATAGATAGCATCTGCTATGACTTTACTCACAATGGGGGTAGCGTCACCTTGTTATATAATATAACTATGTTGATATTGTCATCAATTTTCATGCACATCTTATGGGACATTGATTGCACAATGAACAGATTTCAACCTACAATTTGTTTCTGTACTTTTTTTTAAGTATATGGGAGAAAATAGTCAAACATTGGTCTTTTCCATAGACAGAGGTATCTCATTCTTTGTGTAAGAGTTTGGCTGGTCAGCATTGTTTGTGGACCAAACTAACATAATTAATCACCAGACATGGTATTATTGACTAATGTCACAATAATTTTAAAATAAGTAGGAAATACTGCCTTTATTTTAACTTTCAGCTTATGCGAGTTTAAACCAAGGATCTGGTATAATAAGCTTGTTTTTACATTCCTTGACTTGTTTCCTAGGTATTCATTTGGTTATGACTGTACTAAGAGAGCTAACCTTCACTTACTTGATGAAAAAACAGTGATATTTGCGGCAGGAAATCTTGTCCAGTTAGTTGATCTTCAAACACGTGAACACACATATCTGCGTAGTACCAGTGGTGGAGGTATAGGGGCCTTAACGGTTAGTAACAGGAATGTGTGACTGAGTGTACAGTACAAGACGGCCCTTATTGGTCAGTATAAGATGGCCCTGATGGCAGTACAAGTTGCCCTGATTGGTCAGTACGAGATGACCCTGATTGGTCAGTACAAGATGACCCTGATTAGTCAGTACAAGGTGACCCCATCCCCTATTGTGCATGTTATTTAGTGTTCCAATGAAGTCTTAAATATAGACACAGGATTCAAAGATCCATTTTCCTATATTATCAATATTAACAGCAAATTGATGGTAAAAAAATAGACACTGGCAATAAAAAGCTACACAGTATTCATTATCAAGTATTTAGAAGTATTTGTTTTTTATGAGTTTGAATATTTCCTCTGAATCAGTACTTATTTTGGATACTTGAAAAATAACGAGTGTTATCGACGATTTAGATTATGTTTTTGTTTGTTTGGTTTTGTAGGTTCATCCCAGCAGGAAATACTTTGCCGTTGCTGAGAAAGGTCAGTCCCCAAACATCAACATATTCGAGTACCCCTCTCTGAAGTTGTACCGGATCCTGAGGGGAGGAACAGAAAGATCATATTCTTACATTGATTTCAGGTCAGTCTGTAAAAATTGTTCAGGCAAATTTAGGTAAATTTTGTACTTCAATTGTGTAATACCTGGTACATATTTTCAACATTTTGTTTATGTACATGTATATGTATTATATTTCTTGTCTGATGAAATGACAGTCAAACCTGAAAAAGAATTACAGTTATCAGAACAACAGAAAAACTTTCAGATCTCCTCAGTATTCTTACCCATTAGTGGATCTCACTTGTAACCCTGTAACTATTTATATCATCTTGTTATCAGTTCTGACGGTGAGTTGTTAGCATCACAGGGAGGTAACCCAGATTTCATGTTAACTGTTTGGCGATGGCAAGAGGAGATGACAGTCCTAAGGTCCAAGGCTTTCTCTCAGGACGTGTTCCGTGCAACATTCTCCACAGAGTTAGAAGGTCAACTGACCACTGCTGGAACAACCCATATAAGGTATAAATTAGTCACATGAACATCTACACTATCTTTAATTGGTTGTTCAACTGATCAGTGTCTCAGATATCAAGTAAAGAACACCAACTTTTTTCACAGTTTGTATGATTTCTGTATTACAACACTTTTCCTGTGATAAACTTTCATGAAACAGATGATACTATACATATATATTGATGTGAATTTTTCATAATTTAGGAAGATAAACTTGTGGTAATTTGTTGCTATCATGAAATCAGCTGACTGCACTGCCCAGAAATCTAATAACAGATAAAAAGTTGAAATGACCTAAACAAAAAAAATTTCTCTATCCTAGTTTTCACTGTGCTGCTTTCTGTTTAGGGTTTGAGAAAGGGATCTGCATTCTAATCAAATTGATGTGTACATGCTCCAGCTTTTGTCAACATGTTGTGATAGAATGACTTAATGCTCAAGCAGTAATATATTCCTAGATTTGGTATGCAGAAATTTGATTGGTTTTTGCAAAATATCATGCAGAACATTACCCGTTATGGGTTGTTGTCAGATCCCAGTGCAGACAGTAACACAGTGAGAATTCAGATATACATTTTAATCAGATTGTCCTAATCTGAGTGTTTATTTAATTGAGAGGAAATTTACAAGTGATTTGTTTTCCTTAAATCTAGATTATTCTTAATAAATCTTAATTTCCATTTATTAAATCAGTCTTAAAGAAAACTTTATTATTTTTCAAACATCTTTTTCAAGGTTTTGGAAAATGGCAGACACTTTCACTGGTTTGAAACTTCAAGGAGCTCTTGGTAAATTTGGCAAGACAGAAATCTCTGATATTGAAGGCTATGTGGAGCTTCCTGATGGAAAAGTGTTGTCAGGTTGTGAGTGGGGAAATATGTTATTGTGGGAAGGAGGTCTCATCAAGGTGGAGATTTCATGTAAGGGGAAAAAACCCTGTCACATCGGAAACATCATGCAGATCTTGTTGGATGAGGGAGAACTGATGACTGTAGGAGAGGATGGTTTTATTAAGGTACAAAAATTCTGGTAGTAATACCATTAGAATAAAATATATATGGCTCATGCAATGTACCTGTCCATGTAATAAGCCCACCCATGACATGTTTTTTGCTGTTTTTTGTAAAATCCCAAAAATGCTATTTCTTGGCTCTTGGGCCTGCCCCCTGACTTTTGAATTGAATAGTATTTTTTACCCTCATTTTTGTTGAGAGATAAATCTATCAATGTGATACAAGGATATTACAATACATACTAATTCAGTTTTTTTCTATATTTTTTGCAGGTTCAATGAATTTTATTATTTTCGTTTTATGTCATGTCTCTTTATATCATCCATATATGATTTCATGTCTCTTTATATCATCCATATATGAAGTAATGTCTCTTTATATCATCCATATATGAAGTCATGTCTTTTTATATCATCTATGTATGATGTTGTGCCTCTTTATATCATCCATGTATGATGTCATGTCTCTTTATATCATCCATATATGAAGTAATGTCTTTTTATATCATCTATGTATGATGTTGTGTCTCCTTATATTATCTATGTATGATGTTGTGCCTCTTTATATCATCCATGTATGATGTCATGTCTCTTTATATCATCCATATATGAAGTAATGTCTTTTTATATCATCTATGTATGATGTTGTGTCTCCTTATATTATCTATGTATGATGTTGTGCCTCTTTATATCATCCATGTATGATGTCATGTCTCTTTATACCATCCATGTATGATGTTGTGCCTCTTTATATCATCCATGTATGATGTCATGTCTCTTTGTATCATCATTGTATGATGTCATGTCTCTTTATATCATCCATGTATGATGTCATGTCTCTTTATATCATCATTGTATGATGTCATGTCTCTTTATACCATCCATGTATGATGTCATGTCTCTTTATATCATCATTGTATGATGTCATGTCTCTTTATACCATCCATGTATGATGTCATGTCTCTTTATATCATCATTGTATGATGTCATGTCTCTTTATATCATCCATGTATGATTTCATGTCTCTTTATATCATCCATGTATGATGTCATGTGCCTCTTTATATTATCCATGTATGATGTTGTGCCTCTTTATATCATGTATGTATGATGTCATGTCTCTTTATATCATCATTGTATGATGTTGTGTCTCTAGGTGTGGGACTTTGAGAGCGTAGATACCGCTGATACCACGGATGATACTGGAATGTTTGAGATGGAACCAATGAATGAACTCAGAGTCGGTGATGGAGTCAGATTACAATCTATTTGTAAATCATTTGATGCGGAGACAGAGCTGACCTTCTGGTTTGCCCAGGTGTGTACATGAACTTTCAGCTTCATTTATTGTTTCAATTTGGAAAGATTTACAAATACATTTCCAAAGGATCATGAAGTCAGTATCAAATGACTAAAAAGTGTTGGAAGTGTAAACACTACTGCTTCATAGAATAAAAGTTGTTATAAAACAGCCTGTAAAAGATTTAATTGTGACGTTTTGTTTACTGCGTTTGTGCATACATCCTTGCTAGTATGCTCTACACTGTTTATATTTTTTATGAATGTGACTGTGTAGTCATCAAAACGTCACACTCTAATCTTCTACTGGTTGTGTTATAAGATGAATGTGACCGTGTAGTCATCAAAACGTCACACTCTAATCTTCTACTGGTTGTGTTATAAGTTGAATGTGACTGTGTAGTCATCAAAACGTCACACTCTAATCTTCTACTGGTTGTGTTATAAGATGAATGTGACTGTGTAGTCATCGAAACATCACACTCTAATCTTCTACTGGTTGTGTTATAAGATGAAGGTGACTGTAGTCATCAAAAGGTCACACTCTAATCTTCTACTGGTTGTGTTATAAGATGAAGGTGACTGTAGTCATCAAAAGGTCACACTCTAATCTTCTACTGGTTGTGTTATAAGATGAATGTGACTGTGTAGTCATCGAAACATCACACTCTAATCTTCTACTGGTTGTGTTATAAGATGAAGGTGACTGTAGTCATCAAAATGTCACACTCTAATCTTCTACTGATTGTGTTATAAGATGAAGGTGACTGTAGTCATCAAAAGGTCACACTCTAATCTTCTACTGGTTGTGTTATAAGATGAATGTGACTGTGTAGTCATCGAAACATCACACTCTAATCTTCTACTGGTTGTGTTATAAGATGAATGTGACCATGTAGTGGTCGAAACATCACACTCTAATATTCTACTAGTTGTGTTATAAGAACTATAAGGTGACTGTGTAGTCATTGAAATGTTAAACTCAAATCTTCTACTGGTTGTGTTATAAGAATGTTCTATTCTATTGATATTACTAACCTAAAGAAAATGTTCTGAAATACTACTGCACAGTATGATATTTCATGCAAATTTTTTTCATTAACATCAACTGTAAATTCCATAAATTCCATATAGGATGCTAATGGAGGTATCTGGAAACTTGACCTGTCCTTCTCTCACACCTCATTGGCCCCGGAGAAGATGTTTACCTACCACGCCGGAGCCATTCTTGGATGTGATACATCTCCTGTCAGTCACGTTGTCGCCACCACAGGCGAAGACCGTAAGTCAATACCTAAATAAGAAAACAGGACAGACGAAATTTCAGATCAGATTATGTTTGTTTTGTTAGATTGTTGGTTTCTAACCTCATAAACAGCCACAGTCACTTTGAGATGAGGTTTTCTTGTGTTAACTGGTGACTACTGCACCGAACAACATACAAGAGGTCGTCACAAGGCAGCCACAGCAATAAGGGTCAAGTGTCTTGCCTAAAGACAAAACCTCCTTAGTGTCTTGTCATTGAAAATGTCACAGAAATTTCTAATCTTATTGAACAGAATGAAAGTTGTAGTTGACTTTTCAATGGTATAAGGGACATGTGATTGAAGTCCGGTAGTATTAGGCTTGTGTCTGCTATATAATAAGCCCAGATATGTCTATTTCAGGGCTGCAGAAAAAACAGCAGATACTTTTGCAGGGCACCTGGTTGGACAGTTGTATTAATAAGTTTGTGTAAAGGTTTATCACTCTCACATATATATATGTATCTCACTGTTTACCATCTCATCACAATATTTTCAATCTTAGTGTACAACAGTATTATAGTACAACCAAAAGACTTGGATGATTCCTTACCATCTTTATACTACGTCCTTGAGTACTTTTACACTCCACAGTCATTTGTCCGATGCAGGTGACCGTGTAGTCATCAAAATGTCACACTCTTATCTTTTACTGGTTGTATTATAAGAACCCATTCTGTTGACATTAAAAACCTGAAGAAAATGTTGTGAAATATCTTTTACACCTATTTATTGTGTCGCCTGCAGAGCTGGCGGACACTTTGGGATCACTTTGTTCGTCGTCACGTGTCTCCTATATATCTCCTATACCTATTTATTATGATTACAGGTACAGTTAGGGTGTTTGACTACCTACAACAGAAACAACTTTGTGAGATGAAATTCTCCTCTGGAGGGTCCTCTCTACTCTGGGCCCCACAAGTGGTGAGTTTTAACCTTAGTCATGAATGGTTGTGTGATGTAACAGTTAAATGTTAATGTATAGACTTAAGTAGAAGGAAAATGAAGCCAATGTGCTTACGTCTCCTGTATTTAACATGAAACAGAAGATGTCAAAAACTGAAAAATAGAACTTTGTTTGTGCACCATATTCTGATGTATAAAGTAGTACTAGCATTATAGTATAACCCAGGTGGTAGTATTTTGATAAAAAAAGAATTTGATAAATACAAATGTAATTGCAAGTTGATTTGATGGAAAGGTATCGGTGTTTGCTTTGTTTTTTTACAACAATGATCAGTCAATTGAAGGTAACAAGTGGACACTGGTTTGTTGTAGGTTGATCCTAAAGGAGCTACAGTGCTGGCTGGATTTATGGATGGCGTGGTCAGAGTTTTCAATATCAGCCAGCTGACAGATGATTCTACAAAGAAACATAAGAATGACTGTGATATGATCCTACAGCAGGCGTTCAAACCTCACTCCTCTGTCGTCAACTCCATGGCTATTAACAAGGCAGGAGACATCCTCGCCACAGGGGTAAAATAATTAATATAACTTTATATGTATATCAATACATGGAATGAGGGGCTGATTTAACAGGCAAAACCAGTGATATATTGTATATCAAAAACAATATGAAAATGTCTCTTTTGAATGATTAAGTTACATGTATTTTATGTAACCTGTAAGCTGTAACCATAATGATATCATTATTTTGTTTACTTTTGTCTGGATGTTATTGTAAATAACAATTTTTTCCAGGGTGAAGATGGTACACTTTTCTTCCTGACGGTAGGAACAACATACAACCCCATTGGTTTTGTTGTTATGCCATCTGCAGTTAAAAAAGTCCAGTGGTCACCAGAAACTAAGGTAAAGTCTTAGACCAAGACAACTAAGGTAAAGTCTTAGACCAAGAAAACTAAGGTAAAGTCTTAGACCAAGAAAACTAAGGTAAAGTCTTAGACCAAGAAAACTCAGGTAAAGTCTTAGACCAAGAAAACTAAGGTAAAGTCTTAGACCAAGAAAACTCAGGTAAAGTCTGAGACCAAGAAAACTAAGGTAAAGTCTTAGACCAAGAAAACTAAGGTAAAGTCTTAGACCAAGAAAACTAAGGTAAAGTCTTAGACCAAGAAAACTCAGGTAAAGTCTGAGACCAAGAAAACTAAGGTAAAGTCTTAGACCAAGAAAACTAAGGTAAAGTCTTAGACCAAGAAAACTAAGGTAAAGTCTTAGACCAAGAAAACTATGGTAAAGTCTTAGACCAAGAAAACTATGGTAAAGTCTTAGACCAAGAAAACTAAGGTAAAGTCTGAGACCAAGAAAACTAAGGTAAAGTCTTAGACCAAGAAAACTAAGGTAAAGTCTTAGACCAAGAAAACTAAGGTAAAGTCTTAGACCAAGAAAACTCAGGTAAAGTCTTAGACCAAGAAAACTATGGTAAAGTCTTAGACCAAGAAAACTAAGGTAAAGTCTGAGACCAAGAAAACTAAGGTAAAGTCTTAGACCAAGAAAACTAAGGTAAAGTCTTAGACCAAGAAAACTCAGGTAAAGTCTTAGACCAAGAAAACTATGGTAAAGTCTTAGACCAAGAAAACTAAGGTACATTCATAAGAGTTACAATTGTTGTCTTTAGATTTCCAAAACTATTTTGATGGTGTTCCAGTTCTCATGAGTCATGTTTTTGTGTTTTAGAAATCTTTTTCCTTGATATTCCAGTAAACTTAAAATAGATTTTTGTAACTTTTATGAATTCTTACTAAATTTTGACCATGTTGTAGGTATTGGGGAAAGTCTGATTTATCTTTGATTCTGCTTTCTGTGTCACAGGAGGTGAGTAAGGAGAAGCTTCTCGTGTTCTGTGACAAGGGTACTGTTGTTGAGATCGAGAGTCCAGATGGTGCCAACTTTGACACATCGCACACCTTTAAAATAACGGGGCTTCAAACTCGCGAGTTCCATTTCAAGAGTGTCAAGTCCACACTCCGAGTAAGTTGTTGATTTAAAGTGAAGCTTTATTCAGTGTTCTGTTTTGTAATATTGCTGCATTGTTAGAATCTTACTCAACTGAGATCTGAGGTCCGTACATCTGTTTTGTTTTCTATTCTTACTAGGATGTAATACCATATCTGACCAAATGATGGTAACATACTACAATATATAGACTTACCAAAACATGCTTTGTGCCTGAAAAGAAAGATATTTCATGATTTCATAATTGCTGTATTTAACTTTCTTAATTATTTTTTAAATAATTTTGATTACAGTATTAATTAAAAATTAAAATTAAAAGAGAAATGATTACATCATGAATTGCTTTCATTCATATTTAATTTGTTTTCGACTTTGTCCATTGAAATCAGGATATGATCAGAAATTAATTTTTCTGTCATGATGATTAAAATTTAGAAAACAAGAAATCATCCAATTTATTTATCAATATTGAATTGTTCATTTCATCACAGCATGAAGAAGAGATGGAACGAAAGAGAAAGGAGGAAGAAGAAAGAAAGAAAAAGGAAGCTGAAGAAAGAAGAAAAAGGATAGAGAGAGGATTGGAAACTGAATCTGAGCAAGGAGATGAAGAAGGTCTGTACGGGGTCAATTTTAAACATTTAGTCTAGTATATTGTCCATGATTTTTTCTGATTTTTTTTTATGAAATAAAGAAAAAAGAAAAATTAAAGAAATCGAGAAACAAAAACACAAAATACTGTTGAGACAAATATATAGTATCTATATTCAAAATTATTTGTAGGAATAAAAGGATGTAAAAATTCATAATTTTTTTTATTTTTTAGAGGAAGAAAAGGAACCGGAAGAAGACTGGACACCATACATCCCATCAGAACCAAGCCCTATCCTGGAGGGATTCTACACAGAGGATGGAAACTTCTGGCTCTCCATGGTATGATACTTTTCAGTGACATCTTGATCTGTGGAACCCTGACTCCAAAAATCCTGACAAATCCACTTGACTGCAGTTTGTTTTTTGGGTTTATCATCCCATGATCGTTTAGAGCCGTTGTGAGGTGGCGGCTGCCTCCTTGTTGTAGCTGGTAGCTAGGTTTATCATCCCATGATCGTCTAGAGCCGTTGTGAGGTGGCAGCTGCCTCCTTGTTGTAGCTGGTAGCTAGGTTTATCATCCCATGATCGTCTAGAGCCATTGTGAGGTGGCAGCTGCCTCATTGTTGTAGCTGGTAGCTAGGTTTATCATCCCATGATCGTCTAGAGCCGTTGTGAGGTGGCAGCTGCCGCCTTGTTGTAGCTGGTAGCTAGGTTTATCATCCCATGATCGTCTAGAGCCGTTGTGAGGTGGCAGCTGCCTCCTTGTTGTAGCTGGTAGCTAGGTTTATCATCCCATGATCGTCTAGAGCCGTTGTGAGGTGACAGCTGCCTCATTGTTGTAGCTGGTAGCTAGGTTTATCATCCCATGATCGTCTAGAGCCATTGTGAGGTGGCAGCTGCCTCCTTGTTGTAGCTGGTAGCTAGGTTTATCATCCCATGATCGTCTAGAGCCGTTGTGAGGTGGCAGCTGCCTCCTTGTTGTAGCTGGTAGCTAGGTTTATCATCCCATGATCGTCTAGAGCCGTTGTGAGGTGGCAGCTGCCTCCTTGTTGTAGCTGGTAGCTAGGTTTATCATCCCATGATCGTCTAGAGCCGTTGTGAGGTGGCAGCTGCCTCCTTGTTGTAGCTGGTAGCTACCATAATAAACATGTGGAAGGTCCATCACATGCTTGAGCTATGTTTCTTATAGTGATTTTATATTTTATGTAATTAATGGTTGAGGTTTCCTGCAGCTGATTGTCTTGTGTATTATTTACAGGGTGATTTTGATGCTGGTTACCTGTATAAGTGTAAGTTTTTAAGTCCTGAGGAGAAGTCCGGTCTGCCTGCTGAATTAGTGGACCAGCCCGTACAGTCTATTCCAGTGGTAGATTCCCAGGACGTACCTATTAACATCATCAAGTTCAGGTACGGGAGGTTAACCATTTACCAAGTCCAAATTGAAAATTTTTGAGGTAAAAATGTCACTGTCTCACATTGAAATTGAATTATCTTGTTACTATAATTAACTTATTGACACATTTTCTCAAACATAAAGGTCAAAGTTCTTTATATCCATTTTTTTTTCTGACATAAATACTTTCTATTTTGCCACATGTCATACAACAACACCTACAATACCACCAAAATAGTTTTATTTAATGAGTTATAAGATGATTGTGTATTTACAATGTATTTTATAAAGAAGATTAATATTTTACAATGGTTATATGAAAACATGAGAGAGTTTCTATCAATACTCTGAGGTGTGGGTATTTTTTTTGTGGGTAGATATTTTAATTTGAATGACTGATGAGTATTTCATTACATTATTTAGTGTACAGTGTTTTATCACAAATAAACTCCCTGCACTGTTTTATATGTTTTCAAGGAACAGGAGGGTTTCTTTCAATTAAGCCCCCTTCCCTTGGTAAATTACGAGATTATTTGTGGTAAATTATGAGAATATTTGTAGTAAATTACGGCAAATTTGGATTGGTATAATACCATTATTTTTCTTACAGTTTGAAATTACAAGAATTTGGTTCAAACAATGAGAAAATGTGGACAGAAAAAAGAACAAAACTAGAAATTAATTTGAATTACTTTGGTTCAATTTCTTAATTTCCTTTGTTTCAGTTCTAATGGACGCCAGGTGTTAATGGGTATGAGTGATGGTGCTGTCAGGATCTATAACCTGGAGACACCATACGATATAACAACAATGGGGCCATACTGGACATTGACCATGCACGACAACAACTACGGACATATTACAGGGCTGAAGAGCAGCTACGATAGCACCATGCTGTTGTCTGTGGGTGGAGATAGTAACTTCTTCCTCTACAAATACATGGGACAAGAAGAAATTGATCAGAAAACAGAGGAAAATAAAGCCAAGCTCCCCTCTGCCAAGGTAACTGTTCTGCTGTAAGATGGTTCTGTTTCACACCTGTTTCCTAGGAACATTTTTTTTTATCTTTATAACAGCAAAAAATTAGGGTCTATATTGTTGACTAGTGATAGGAAATACTGTCCATGCTAAAACATTAAAGTGTATTTTCATGTAATTTAAGTGAAGAATTTCAAATTGGTTTGATATTTTAAAATCTCAAGTTCCACTTTCTGCTATCCCATAGTTCCACTTTCTGCTATCCCATAGTTCCACTTTCTGCTATCCCATAGTTCCTCTTTCTGCTATCCCATAGTTCCACTTTCTGCTATCCCATAGTTCCACTTTCTGCTATCCCATAGTTCCACTTTCTGCTATCCCATAGTTCCTCTTTCTGCTATCCCATAGTTCCACTTTCTGCTGTCCGATAGTTCCACTATCTGCTGTCCCATAGTTCCTCTTTCTGCTGTCCCATAGTTCCACTATCTGCTGTCCCATAGTTCCACTTTCGGCTGTCCCATAGTTCCACTTTCTGTTGAAGTTCTGATACTTAGAAAGCTATATTTAATGTTGTAATGACTTTATAAATTCAATTAAATAATCATTGATAATGAACAAATAGAAGTGTTATCTTAGTTTATCCAAGTTATATGACAAGCTTTGTGAAATTTAGGAAATTGTTTTTTCAAATTTTCGTCTTATTTATTATTTAGAAACGTGGCGATGAGATTATCGATGATATTGATGACCCGAACGCCTACAGGTAGAGTTTTATAGATCTTAATGGCTGTCATATAATTCTTTACACAGAAAATTATTCTGGTAAAATTTATCAATTATAGATACATTAAATCTGATAATGTCTTAAACAACATCAGATTTTTTATTACAAATTTCGCCACTTGTGGACGTGTAACTGTCCAGGTAACATATCTATTGTTTTTCTGTCCGGCTATTTCATGATCATTCAATAAGCTCACATCCTGACAATGACTCAAAGATTAAATGTTGGTAATTCCTTCACAAAAAGTACAATGCTGCAAAATCACAAATTTTTGTGAGTTTCATGTTCATTGATTTTGTTGGTGATCATAATCAATGACTTCTTGTATCCATAAAATTCTTACAAGCAGTAAAACATTAACATAATTTTCAGCACTGTTTTGTTTCATGACCAAAAAAATAGTGACGAAATAATGATTTTTTTTTTTGAAAAACGTGAATTTTGAGCCCAGCAAAAAAGATAATTTTACAGTAAATGAATCTGTAAAATGTTATTAAGAACTGAGTTGTGTTACTTCAGTATTGAGGATGCTAAACAGAAGGCGGAGCATGATAAGATGATGAAACAAGCAGAGGAGAAGAAGCGTGATGTTAAACAGAGAATTGCTCACCTCCGACGACAGTTCAAGACTCTGTTAGAGCAGAACGAGAACCTACCTCAACATCTACAGCTTAGGAAGGATGTATGTACTAACAATAAAGATATATAATGTATAACACACTCTCTTGGCATGTGTCAGAAGTATCAAATTTCAGCCTTGTCATATTCTCACTTTTGAAGATCAGAAAAAAAAGACAATGTAACTTTGTCTCTAAATCAAAATTTTTGAGATGGACATATGGTACAAAGAGGGTTGACTGTTGACTAATGGACCAGTGAATCGTGGCGACACGAGATCAAATGTGTCTTGCTTTTGACTGAGACTTTTCTACAATTGTGATAGAACTTGGGCCTCTGTTTTAAGGGGGCCTAAAATACTTGAATAATTTTGTTCTGTCGGGACAGAGAAGTTAATATCTGGTTGAACATAAAAATTAAACAAAAACTCAACAAAAATGTCTATTATTGCAATATTATATCAAATATATTTTTCCATTTCAGGAATTTGAGATGGATAGAGAAATAAAATTGGAACTCCAGAGACAGAAGGCAGAGAGGATCCAGGTTGTAAGAAAGGAGAATGCCTGGGAATCAGAGAAACATCGAATAGCTTTAGAAAAAATTCGCAAGAGGTGAGAAAAGGAGGGAAATATTCTTATTCTTAAAGTCGTGTCAATACACGACATCATTTCACACTTACTGACTGTACAGTGTACATATATATCTTTACCTTTCGATTTTTCTTTTTTTTTCTTTTTAAGTATATTTTACAATGCAAAATCTTTGTAAGGTAGAGTGATTTGATGGCATACAGGGACAGACATGAGACATAATTAGTGGGACACTGGTCTATCTAAAGTTTACTTCTCATCACCCATCAAAACTTTTCCCATTCAATGATGACTTGGTTTAAGGAAAATAAGAATACCCAAGAATGAACTTAAGCTTTAATTGAAATTGACATTCTTAAATACTGATGCAGAAATATCTACAGTACCTAAGAGAAAATATCGAGTTTTAATTAAAATTTAATTAAAAAATATATACATATATAGAAATAGTGTATGAAATCTCATTTTCTCTATAGAAGTTTTTATTACTGTTTTGTAATGTTGACCACCATGAAATATTTGAAGACTTGTGTATAATGTTTTGTAGGTTTAAGGATGTTGTGGAGTGTGAGCGTATAGTGGTAAGAGCATTTAACACACCACATGAAATAGCAAGTTTCCGTGCTGCCAAACTGTCTGATGACTTTTACACACTGAAGGCCGAGTTTGAACGACGTAGGACACAGACCATGATGAGGGATGACCTCACTCGAGATCCCACCCGTGACCTCATGACAGGTATGAACCAATCAGAGTCCTGACAGATTTAATGTTCACTTAAAGGTAACGTACCAGGAATTTGAATTATTAAACTTCATCAAGTATGTGTTTCTAGGGGCCAATCAATGATGTTTGATTTGTCTACAGGTCAGACACGTCACACAGAACTCGGCGGTGATGGAGAGAAGAGAGATGATCAATCAGGCCTTAAGGTTACAACGACCTTGAAAGGAAGCATGGGTGAACGCATATCTAAAGCTCTTCAGAAAGTGGAGGAGAAAAAGAAGAAACGAGCTGCCAGGAAAGCACAGGTAGGTTTTAATGAAACAGAAAAACGTCAGGATTGTTTCTAAATATACATACAGTAGGTCAAGGTCAGCTGTCAATATAACTAGATATAACTTACAGAAGGTCAAGGGTCAGTTGTAACTGTCACTAAACCATAGGTCAAGGTCAGTTGTCAATGTAACAAACGCGTAGGTCAAGGTCAGTTGTAAACACAACTATGAGGATCCTGCAGACATTTACAGTGTTATATAATGTACAACACCAAGTCTGATGATGATTACAGGGATCCTACAGCTATTTGTAGTGTAAAATGATGTTATATAATTATATCTATAGTGGTCTGACCTGTACAACACCAAGCCTGACGATGATTACAGGGATCCTACAGCTATTTGTAGTGTAAAATGATGTTATATAATTATATCTATAGTGGTCTGACCTGTACAACACCAAGCCTGACGATGATTACAGGGATCCTACAGCTATTTGTAGTGTAAAATGATGTTATATAATTATATCTATAGTGGTCTGACCTGTACAACACCAAGCCTGACGATGATTACAGGGATCCTACAGCTATTTGTAGTGTAAAATGATGTTACAGCTATTTGTAGTGTAAAATGATGTTATATAATTATATCTATAGTGGTCTGACCTGTACAACACCAAGCCTGACGATGATTACAGGGATCCTACAGCTATTTGTAGTGTAAAATGATGTTATATAATTATATCTATAGTGGTCTGACCTTAGCCTGACGATGATTACAGGGATCCTACTATTTGTAGTGTAAAATGATGTTATATAATTATATCTATCTATAGTAAAATGATGTTATATAATTATATCTATAGTGGTCTGACCTGTACAACACCAAGCCTGATGATGATTACAGGGATCCTACAGCTATTTGTAGTGTAAAATGATGTTATATAATTATATCTATAGTGGTCTGACCTGTACAACACCAAGCCTGACAGGGATACAGCTATTTGTAGTGTAAAATGATGTTATATAATTATATCTATAGTGGTCTGACCTGTACAACACCAAGCCTGACGATGATTACGAGGATCCCGCAGATGTTGCAGCCATTAAGGAGGCCAAAGATAATATGGGTGACTACAAGCTGAAAACTGCTCAGGACTATGTTGTCCCTGACCATCTTAGGATGAACGTAGAGAAAGCACGGGGCCGTCTCCTTGTTCTGAAGGACATTGTGAGTCACTCCTCTTTCATAATTACTATTTCTATCAAAAAAATTCTGTCTAATGAATCTGAAAAAAAAAAAAATCTCATGAAAGATTATATATTAGAAGATAGCATGACTCCATTAAATTATTCTGAATTAAAAGAAAAGCAACATTTGTGTAAGTACTTTACAGATTTAAAATCTATTGTTGACAGTCTGCGGTGTAATGACTTAATGATTTGGATACTTTGTCAAGATTGTACAATTCTCTAATATTGAGATACAGTTTACTGTAAACGTCTACTAGTGTAACAAGAGTTTTATAAAAAAAAATTGGGTGGTCGGGTGGCGCATTGGTAATGAACTCGCCTTTCACCTAGCCAACTGGGGTTCAACTCCCGGAACGGACATGAAAAGGTAAGGGGTCACTTGCCCGACCACGTGGGTTTTCCCCGAGTACTCCGGTTTCCTCCCACAATAAGATCCCTCACGCGCTTACATCCGGGCCAACAAGAGTGATTAGTATAAGTTGACATAACTTGTTTCGCAATTGTTGTAAAATAAATAAAGTTTATATTATATATATAAAAAAAATTTAAACTTTTACTTTCCCAGATGTTAAAATCCACTACATTCAGACTGATGTAGATTCTGTTTATGACCACATGAAGATTGATGTTATTTAGATTTAATCAGCTGTAAGCCTAGGGCTGGTAATCACTAATATGTACTGTTCAGCACTATTACATATTATTCCTACTTACTTCTATATCAAATCAAAAGAAATGTGTTCCCTTGGTGACGTATAAAATAAATACTGATATCATTTGTCGTCATGATATTTCAGATCCATGACCAAAAGTATCACTTTAATCTTCAACTGTTGAGTCTGCGTGACAAGAAATTACACGTGATTGAGGAGATCAGGGAATTGATACAGCAACTGGAGGATATACAGACACATTTGGTGCCAGAAAAATGTAAACCTATCCCCCCAGTCCCTCGCATGTACCCAGTAGAGATGCCAGAAAAGTAAGTGTATTATTATCTTGGTTTATGTACTGTAATACATGTATTTACGGGGAAGTTGATTATGCTACATTTGTGATCATTAAGGATTGTACAAAGTTAAATTTACACTAAACATTCTTCATTGGATAAAATCTGGAAATATATATTTCATGCCTGTATATATGTATACCTATGTACAGACAAGTTCTTCTGTTTACTGGTTAAAAAAAACAGAGAAAAGGGAAATTTAATCTCAAACTGGAACGCTTGTAAAATTATAGACCCACAAAATAACCCAACTACATTTTGTATACAGTACTGTTAATAATGATAGTGTGAAGCTGTATAGGATCTGACTGTTAATAATGATAGTGTGAAGCTGTATAGGATCTGACTGTTAATAATGATAGTGTGAAGCTGTATAGGATCTGACTGTTAATAATGATAGTGTGAAGCTGTATAGGATCTGACTGTTAATAATGATAGTGTGAAGCTGTATAGGATCTGACTGTTAATAATGATAGTGTGAAGCTGTATAGGATCTGCCTCTGTAGCCTGTTGGTGATTCTGGACATTGTGGATATGGAGACCTAAATTGTTTAAGGCAAATTTTATGTCAATTTTAAAATTGATTGTTTTCAAATAAAAGAAAAGTGACAATAAGTGTTGTTTATAACAGAAAACTGGAGTACACCAGGGAGACATTACTGGCCTTTAAAAAGGAGAAAGAAGAAGCTACTGCGGCCCAAAAAGGAGGAGGAGGCGGATTTGGTGGGTTCGGCGGAGGTTCGGACGATAAAAAGGTATGTCTCCCTATATACAGGGGTATATAGTCATCCATCTTCTTACTCAAGTTCTGATTTAAGTTTGATAAATTAAATATATAAGGATCCATGTGACTTATTTTCAGTAAATTTATTCCTTGTCATAAAAAGTCAAATCCATTAAGAACTGGCTTGTTTATACTGGTATTACATGTATTAGACGAGGTGCATTTGATAGTCATTCATTCCAAGGTTACAAGTTTGAAATATCTTCATCATTTTAATAATGTATATATTTTATTAATATCACATTTGATATCAATTCAATAATGAAAATAAATTAAATATGCTCTGTTTTCATTCCTCTTGTTTTTATCTGTAAATTTGCTTTCTTTACGTTAAAACATTGAAACCTGATATGATATACATATGTTACAGGGTGGACGACCATCTCCACTTCCTACTCAGAAACATGGTACCTCTACCAGTGACATGAGCAAGTCTAGTGGAGAAGTCACAGATGGTGAACAGGAGTTAACTCCCCTGGAACAACAAATGAAAGTTGCAGAGGAAATCATGTTAGTAAATAATTAGGTTATTTTATCAAAGGTCAGAGTTCACTATGATATCCATATATGGAGTTTTTTACTCAATGTTGGTAGACCTTTCATATAATTGCTTTGTAATATACTAAATTACCACATTTATGAAACAGAAAATGAGCAATAGAATGGCAAAATATTGAAGGAAATTCTTATTGTTATAAATTTAATCTGCATAAACACCATGATTGTGTGAAGTTGTCAAATACACCACAGGCAGCAGGACATTGAAGCTATGGTGACGATTGGCTTTTGAGTTATTGTATGTGGTTCTGAAGTGTGCTGCATAAAAAGATAATGTCTAGTGAACAGCAGTAGATATCAGAGGTTTTACATGTACATTAACATGGTTAACAGTAGTTCATAGTTCAAAGTTAACAAGAGGGTTTATAGTTAACAAGATGGTTCATAGTTAACAAGATGGTTCATAGTTAACAAGATAGTTCATAGTTAACAAGATGGTTCATAGTCAACAAAATGGTTCATAGTTAACAAGATGGTTCATAGTTAACAAGATGGTTCATAGTAAACAAGATGGTTCATAGTCAACAAGATGGTTCATAGTAAACAAGATGGTTCATAGTAAACAAGATGGTTCATTAATGTTTTACCCTGATGTGTGGTATTACTGTTTGTTCCTGTATCACTGGTTAATTAGAATTTTTTGAAACAGGATGCTGTACAACCAGGATCACTTATTGAAGAAGATTGACGAGCTCCTGAGGGACTTTGATGCTGAGCTTCGACTTCTCCGTCACGACAAATTCAAGCTTGATATTGTGATGAAGAATGCTGATCTAAGGTATGTATTTTAATCATACTTGTTTTTTTGAAATCACAGATTTTTTCTTTAATTTTGTTGATACTGAGATAACAGTGCAGTATTTAGGGAGGTAATCAGTTAGCGTTCATTATAATTCCTTGTCATCAGTAGAGAAGCTGTCACATATTATATACTTATACTGATGTATAACAAACAAGAGTCTTGAGTAGTTTGACACATTGTTTTATGCCAGTATAGAAAATCTATTTAATTTGTCACTTAAACTCAATCGAAAATTACCTTGGTTTACGTTTTAACAAAAATGACATAAATATTTTTATTACTTGTTATCATTTCTAACAATAACCTTGATTCGATATTTTTACCTGTTAATATTTTTTCAGACAAGTGACCTTGTTTGAGGAGTTTGTGTTGCTGAAGGAATTTGAGAAGAGAGAAGACGTTTTGGCGGCTAAGGTCACTTCTAAACAACAGGAGAAACTTGAAATGCACAATAAGGTGTGTTGTAGAAGAATTACCAGTATTTACATTTTCATGCAATTCCATCATCTGAGTATCTGAAATTATTTTCTGGAATCCATTATCATGGTGATATGCTTACCTGAAATGAGACTAAATTTTTGCAAAACTAATCAGATAATGCTGAAATGTTAACAAAACCGTAATTCATATAAAAAAATTAACAAAAAATGACAAAATTTGAGTAAGGGAAGATTTACTCAGAGACCCCTGATAAAGTACAAGGATGATAAAGATGTTCTGGAATGGTAAGCAAAACGATTCTTAAATATTAGGATGTTACGTGAACAAGGTTAGTAACACAGCCGTGGTATAATTTGATGTTTTCTGTTTCAGATTATTGAAGTCCAAGGCAAGTTGGAGATAAAGAAGAAGGAGATTGAGAAACTCCTAGAGAGGGAACGCTCTCTCAACGTCACTTTCCAAGGTTCTCTTGGCGACAACAACAAGTTTGCGGACTATCTCACCAAAGTCTTCAAGAAAAAAATCAAGCGTGCTAAAAAGAAGACAACAGATGAAGGTTTGTAACCTAATTTAATTATTGATGAGAATTTCATAGTTTTGTTAGCAACAATTGTTTTGTACGGCGTACTGAAACTCACCGGCAGTAGACACTTCTATAAACAAGTGATATTATGACATCAGTAAACCCTAATCATTTTTGTAGCTTTTCAGTCAGTGAAGCTACAGTCTTGTCTAAATTCATTTCAAACTCTGCACTTAATGTTTGATTGAAGTGAGATTTGTACAATAATTCCAGTGCTGGTGATACATTTGTAAAATAAATTTGAAATATAATCAATGGTAGATAAAGTAGATCACTGATTGGCTGATTGTCTCCATTTGTTTGAACACAATGAGTGTAAATTTCTGTGGACAAAAAGGCAGTTTGACCACCAGCATGTCTGCTAAAAGTGTAATAAGTGATCACAGCTAAAAATGATGGATATGGATTATTGAACTTATTTGAAATCCTCTTCAAGGATCTGACGAAGACAGTGATGAGGACTCAAGCGATGATGATGATTGGGATGAGGATGAAGATGAGGATGATGAGGATGCATTAGGGTATGACCTTGACATTTGTCCATCTGGCTGTGACCAAAATATCTATGACAACACATGTCAGCTGCGTGAGAAACGTTTAGATATTGAGGAAGCACTGGCCGAGGAGAAGAAAAACAATGAATCCCTGAAGAAAGAACTGGACAGTTTTAACAAGAAGGCCAAGGTCATTGATGCGGGACTAAAAACTGCAGCCAATGACCTTGAGGCATTCCAGGTAAGTCCTTCAACAGGTTTCAAAATTTTCTAATTTCAAAATCCTTACAATGTTCTATAAATTATAGTAAAATCCCATTCACGTTCTCCAAAGTCTTGAAATTCTGCCAAAATAGATTCCAGAATGATCATTTATAGTTTTACAAGTTATAATACAAGTTTATAATTACTGCAATCAATCATCAGCTACTGTTTACTTATGTTATAGATTTATCACTGAGACACTGAACAGTTGTCATGGTTACTTTGTTGTTGGGGTTAGGACGCCAATAATATTATCATGTTTATCTGTCAACAATACCATGTTTGTAAATATGCCCACCCACTGTCTATTGATGCATGTTACCAAAATGCTGATGTTCGTAAGTGACACAACATAAAGCGTTAGGAAGAGTTGCTGAGACGGGAAACCTGTAACCAAGCAACCATTTGTTGCTGTTCAGTAGATTTACCTACAATTTATACAGTTTAAATGTCCTGTTATATGCCCTCCACTGATTTTAAGTGAAATTTCTTATCCTTTAAATCTCACCAGTCATGATAAGATTATCACTACTTTAAAATTTGTAGGGTGTTAACACTATAAAACTCTTGTCATGTGACTTAATTATTTGTTTATGTTGACAGTTGGAGAAGCAACAGAAGCTGAACGAGCTAGATGTGATTGTGACACTAAAACTTCACCAAATCCAATACATGTTAAACGGCCAGCTCCCTCAGGACCTCTCACAGACCCTTGTGTTCGAGTCCAATGGTGTCGTACGACTTCAGCAACGTATCAAGGAGCTGGAGCATGAAAAGCACGCACAGAAGAAACATATGAGGTAAGTCGCACCAAACACAACATAGTCTCATGTTTTTGTGGGAGATTTGGAAAATATGCAAAGAGTAATCACCTGTTTTTTTTCTAAGGAAATATATTTTCTCTTTACCTGGACAGATAAATCCACTCTTTTAACCAATGGAAGATTACCTTATCCCATCCTAGGGTTGAGACGGGGGGATTTGACTGTCAGGACAATGTTCTGATGTCACAGTAACAGTTCACTGACATCACATCAAGCAACGGTATATAAACAAAACAAATGGGGGTACATGATTAAGCCAGCAGGGTAAGAGAAAGTCTTGTGTTTGAGATCACACTATCTCATCAACAAGGGGATAAAAGATTATTTTTCCCTTACCTTGTTGTCCTAATGCTTCACATCACTGACGACGACTTGATTTAATTATTGACGTGACATCAGTGAATTGTTACTATAACAACAATAATCATTGGAACTAGAGTATGTACAGAAATATCATACTGTAGGGTTTTATTTATATTTGCAATGAGTTTCAGATTTTTTCCATGACCAGTAAGGGAAGTCTTTTTATTTTACTTCTTGTGTCTAACAGAGAGTCGAAGCGAAAACATGTACAGCTGATCAAGGACAGGAAAGTGTTTGACAGTAAAATATCAGAGATGGAGTCAGAATGTGATAAGTTGATGGTGGACAAATTTGGTTGTATCGTGGACCTGGAGAAACTGGAGACAATCACAGTGAACCGTCAGATAGAAGAACTGAAGGAGAAGTTACGAATCACAGAGATACAATGTTCGGAGGAAATTGAGGAATGGAATGTGAGTACATCATGTGACGTCATCAAGACATGACTTATTTATGACATCATGATAATGTTTTTACCCATGTGGCTTACTGTGTTTATGACATGACACAACAGGCCAGTAATCTGATAAAATAGAACCAATCAATAAATATCACTGATCAAAAGTACAATTATGTTAATGAAATTTGATTTTCTGTATGTCATGTATTTTGTGCCTGATTTTTTGTAGGAAAAGATTGCAGAAAGGAAAGACAGAATCACCCATCTGATTCGAGATAACACCCGCAGATTAGATCAACTTTGTGTTTTACTTAACGATAAAAAAGAATACGAGTCGTCACTAGATACGAGACAGGAGAGTTCCGTAAGTATAACATCCGAACAATACACAAGTTATTGTATGTGTGATAATTCCTTTAAATATCGTCTATTTAGGATCTATAATTAGGTTTTAAAAAACTAACGATTAATTATGGAACATATCATGTATTTTGACAGGGTGAAGAGTATAGTGGTGCACGGAAAGCAGACATTCGTGAGAAACAACGTCTGATTCAACTTGTCCAGTTACAGGCCCAGGAAATTGATGCTCTCAAGGAGGAGATAATGTTACTATCTAGAAAAGGCGGTCACATTCTTCCTCCAGCTCAACCTCCTCTACCACAAAGTCCTCAGAATGTGCGGGCCATCAGTAACTGAGCCTTGTATCATTAACAGGGGCACTGGATATGTATGTGATATAAAAAAACAATGAATGAAGACAAATTTCATCAAGAATGAAAATGAAGTAATAATTTTGAATTTACTTTGATGAAGGTCTAGTTGGTTTTAAGTTAGAAACAAATAGGCACACAAAATCCTGACAGTCAAAAGTCAGAAGCTAACTGTGATGAATAAACATTTCATATTTTTCCTAAAAGAAATCTTTTTATTTTTATTTTTTTTTTTTTTTTTGTGACAATGAAAACTTCATCCTCACTTTGTTTTTCTGATACAAATTCCGTCCTTTTTAATATTTTTTATTTCTGCCTTGTATAAATTATCATACACATAATATTTATGTTTAACTCATTAAAACTTTCATCAAAATAAAGTCCAATTAAAGATTTTAGCTTTCAAAGAATACATAAATCACTAAAAGTTTCATCGACTTCATCTCATGAAGGAAGTACAATGAAAGACATTTTTACGCTAGTGATGAAACATATTATATGGAAAACAAAAGCTGATTTATTTTTACCATTCCAATGTGACTGTGCTATAGATGTAATGCCAATATATACTTATCTGATGTATATATGATGTCCATTACAGTTTATTTATGTATACTGTATGATTGTACATGTAAAATATAGATACACAATACTAGACTTCAGTTGTTTTATTATTTGTTTCTAAAATTCCCGAATCGTCAAATTAGCTAGAGTGATATCAGTTTGGGGTCATCTGACCTGAAAGGTAGCCAACAAAGTGTTATTTTTCGACCTTGTGAAAACTTCGACATGGCAGCCAGGGAGGCCATTTTGTAACATGATTGTGCAATCATGATTTTCCTTTGGAACACCTATTTAAAACTTCTTCTCAAGTTTCACAAGTGGGATTAAGCTTCAGTTTCTTTGAAGTGATCCTGAGAATGTCCTGACCAAGTGTTATTTTTTGGGTCGGTCTGAAATTCAAGATGGCCGCCATCTTGAAAACCATAATTTAAACCTCTTCTCCAGCTGCACTGGTGCCATTGAGCTAAAAATTGGTGGTATTGTTAAGGAATGGTAGCCAACGAAGTGTTGTTATTTGTCAAAACTTTGACCAGGGAGCCAGGGAGATCATTTTGTAACATGATTGCACAACCATTATTTTCCTGTGCAACACCTATTTCAAACTTATCAAGTTTCACCAGGGTGATAGAACTCCAACTTGTCTGAAATGATCCTGACCCTGTGTTATTATTTTTCAGGTTGGTCTGAAATCCAAGATGGCCGCTATAGCCACTATCTAAAAACACATTTTAAACTTCTTTTCCAGTTTCACTGGTGCCATTGAGCTAAAAATTGTCTGAAAACTTTACTGTCAAAAATAGGCTACACTTGCTACAGTTACCTACTGCCAACTCAAACTCCCATCTGCATCCTGGGAAACAGCTTCTTCGTAGCAAGATTTCAGTAAATGCAGAAAAAATAGCCCTTCTCCCTGCCGAAAGTTTTTGTAGTCAGGTGACAGTAAATATCATTGTCCATTTCTTTTCTACTTTTTTCACTACGGAGGAAATCGGTCGGTATTATAACAGGTGCTCGGTCGATCTCACTACAGTATCAAGGAGATTTGTCTTCTCTGATTGCGTTACTCTTTCTGCTGAACATAATATGGCAAGAAACTTATTCAACTTAATTTTTTTAAGAAGAGATCAGCTATACTATATTGAGGTCCTTAATAGTGTATCCCGACCCCAAAGAGCGGGAGGGGTGGGGCCCAATAAGGGAAATGCAAGGTCTTTAAAATCCTTCCATAAAAGGATGCTGTCCATGTTTGGCGTGGGGAAAATGTTTAATAGTGCATAAGACTCTTGTTTGACTATAAGAGCGGAACCAATAAGGAAATTATATCAGAAATTGTTTGGCATATTTGAAATTCTTTAATAAATGGATAAAAAGGCCCTCTTGGGTATCTTATGTTTTTGTTTTTGCTCCCCTCCCCAAAATATTAAAGTCATACAATTAGTTAGTTTTGCATGAAATTCGTGTCCAGTGACGTACATATACATTTTAGATATCTTTTTAACGTTAATGATTTAACAAATTCATACTAGCTTTCTATCCCATGTGCTCGGGACGTACAACTTACTTAATTCACAAGAATTTATTCGCTAATTTTGTGTTTAAAACTGGAAACCAATTTCTTGGTACAGAAAGAGTTTAACGTTCTCAATAAGCTTTTCCATTCCAAAGAAGATCCACAGGAATTCCTTACCAGCTACACTGTGTAATGCTTTAAACCTGCATTACGATGGAATGTTCAGAAAACATGTGGATATATGAAGAGAATGTTCGTCCTTGCTGAAAAACGTGTAGAACAGACACAGACTTGTGTGCTGGAACGATTCAACTACAATACTAACAACATTACACAGAGAATTGCTTGCTGTGAAATAACAGAACTATTTCTTCATATATATGCCTGTTAATGTTCTGTCAGGTCTCCAGCTAGATCAGACACTGTCCTGCAGTGATATAGATCAGACACTACAGTGATATAGATCAGACACTACAGTGATATAGATCAGACACTGTCCTGCAGTGATATAGATCAGACACTACAGTGATATAGATCAGACACTGTCCTGCAGTGATATAGATCAGACACTACAGTGATTTAGATCAGATACTATTGTGATATAGATCAGACACTGTCCTGCAGTGATATTGATCAAACACTACAGTGATATAGATCAGACATTATCCTACAGTGATATAGATCAGACACTACAGTGATATAGATCAGATACTATTGTGATATAGATCAGACACTGTCCTGCAGTGATATTGATCAAACACTACAGTGATATAGATCAGACATTATCCTACAGCAATATAGATCAGACACTACAGTGATATAGATCAGACACTACTGTGATATAGATCAGACACTGTCCTACAGTGACATAGATCACACACTACAGTGATATAGTTCAGACATTATCCTACAGCGATATAGATCAGACACTACAGTGATATAGATCCCACACTACAGTGATATAGATCAGACGCTGTCCTGCAGTGATATTGATCAGACACTACAGTGATATAGATCAGACACTACAGTGATATAGATCAGATACTGTCCTACAGTGATATAGATCAGACACTACAGTGATATAGATCAGACACTGTCCTGCAGTGATATAGATCAGACACTGTCCTACAGTGATATAGATCACACACTACAGTGATATAGATCAGACACTTTCCTTCAGTGATATAGATCAGACGCTGTCCTGCAGTGATATTGATCAGACACTACAGTGATATAGATCAGACACTACAGTGATATAGATCACACACTATAGTGATATAGATCAGATACTGTCCTACAGTGATATAGATCAGACACTATCATACAGTGATATAGATCGGACACTACAGTGATATAGATCAGACACTACAGTGATATAGATCAGACACTACAATGATATAGATCAGACACTACAGTGATATAGATCACACACTACAGACACTACAGTGATATAGATCACACACTACAGTGATATAGATCACACACTACAGTGATATAGATCAGATACTGTCCTGCAGTGATATAGATCAGACACTATCATACAGTGATATAGATCAGACACTACAGTGATATAGATCAGACACTACAGTGATATAGATCAGATACTGTCCTACAGTGATATAGATCAGACACTATCATACAGTGATATAGATCGGACACTAGTGATATAGATCAGACACTACAGTGATATAGATCAGACACTACAATGATATAGATCAGACACTACAGTGATATAGATCAGACACTGTCCTACAGTGATATAGATCACACATTACAGTGATATAGATCAGACACTACAGTGATATAGATCAGATACTGTCCTATAGTGATATAGATCAGACACTATCATACAGTGATATAGATCACACACTACAGTGATATAGATCAGACACTACAGTGATATAGATCAGATACTGTCCTATAGTGATATAGATCAGACACTACAGTGATATAGATCAGACATTACAGTGATATAGATCAGACACTACAGTGATATAGATCAGATACTGTCCTACAGTGATATAGATCAGACATTACAGTGATATAGATCAGACACTACAGTGATATAGATCAGATACTGTTCTACAGTGATATAGATCAGACACTGTCCTACAGTGATATAGATCAGACACTACAGTGATATGGATCAGACACTGTCCTACAATGATATAGATCAGACACTACAGTGATATAGATCAGACACTACTGTGATATAGATCAGACACTATAGATCAGACACTATCATACAGTGATATAGATCAGACACTGTCCTACAGTGATATAGATCAGACTCTATCCTACAGTGATATAGATCAGACACTACAGTGATATAGATCAGACACTGTCCTGCAGTGATATAGATCAGACACTGTCCTGTATTGATATAGATCAGACTCTATCCTATAGTGATATAGATCAGATACTGTCCTACAGTGATATAGATCAGACACTATCATACAGTGATATAGATCAGACACTGTCCTACAGTGATATAGATCAGACTCTATCCTACAGTGATATAGATCAGACACTACAGTGATATAGATCAGACACTGTCCTGCAGTTATATAGATCAGACTCTATCCTACAGTGATATAGATCAGACACTACAGTGATATAGATCAGATACTGTCCTACAGTGATATAGATCAGATACTGTCCTACAGTGATATAGATCAGACATTACAGTGATATAGATCCCACACTACAGTGATATAGATAAGATACTGTCCTGCAGTGATATAGATCAGACACTACAGTGATATAGATCCCACACTACAGTGATATAGATCAGACGCTGTCCTGCAGTGATATAGATCAGACACTACAGTGATATAGATCAGACACTACAGTGATATAGATCACACACTAAAGTGATATAGATCACACACTACAGTGATATAGATCAGACA